TAATTAATAAAATAAGTTCAGGGGGGTAATAGGACCTTAGTATAGTATAAGTGTGTCTGAGATTTCGGGCATAGGTTGAGGGGGTACTTGGGCATTATCCCTATTAGTATACATAACTTACCATTAACTTGTAAATGTATGTAACTCTCACTAATTATATTCATCACTCTCATTTCTCATCGATAATCTCAAATGGATTAATATTTATTTATGACAAATCTTTGTATTCCTCAATGCTATCCAATAATAAATAGTGACATATCACACAATAATATATAAACTTAAACCAATTGAAAAAAAACGAGAAAATCTCTATGCTCTCTTTTCTCATTTCTTTTTATTTATTTAGTTTAACATTTATGTTTCTTGCTTGTTGTTATTGTTCAACGTACTTTCTATTGTTGTGTTATTATTATTGATAATTTACTATGGCCTGTTGCTTTGTATACATTAACCTATCATGTTGTATTTTAATATCTTCATTTGAATATTGAATTTGTGTGATAGTTATTTTTACTTTATGCACTTTTAGTTAATTTTACAGTTAAAGATATGATATTTTTACTAGGAAGATATATTAGTTTCTATCAAAATAATGATAAATTTTATAATAGAAAATTTATATGAAGTATCTTAGGATAAACGTATAACGCACGTTCCAAAATCTAGTGTATAAAAAATACAAGAGATCATTTCTAGATAATTTAACATCTAATAAAACATCTTGTCTCTGAGAGTTTATTTCTAATAAAAATATGTCAATTTGGTGGTATGTCAGTCCCCACCAAAGACCAAACTATAGGGTATTAACTCACGGTGGTATGTATCTATTGATTTATTGTAAATAAAAAATTCAAGTTTGATTGATAATAATTTATTATGAGGTGTTATAGTTCGCACTATCAAAAAGACTTTATTATAATTTTCAATCATTCAAGCTCGAAAACTCTTATCTTGTATATAACAAAACAACTACGAGGGAAAACTTTTATCATTTGAAAATTGCCATAGCTCTTGGTGTTATCAGATTATCAACTTGTTAACGTGTTTTCAAGTATAAAAAAAATAAAATTGTGTGTGATAGTAAAGTAATAAGAAGTGAAAATAAAACATTATGAAGACAAAGTGTTGTTGGGTGAAAAGTGATACTTTAGATCAAAAAGGGGAAAGTTTTGCTTTTTTTTTCCTATGGCTGTCCACATCTCCACCCACCAGCTCACCCAAAATAAATAAAATATCCTCCCTCTTTTGTCTTCAATTGAGTCAAAAGACTCTTCTTGTTGTATGAAATTTTTTACTCACGGTAAAGAGAAAAAAAGAAGGATAATTTGAACTTTTTTTTATGCCTTCAACTTTGGATATTAACGAGTAAACTCTTGAATTTGTATAAAGTTGATGTTATAACACAAACAGTTGCACAACAACTTATGATCATCGGATGCGAGAAGCTGGTAAATGGCCGAAATAAAACAATAACATACCAAATATAACCCGACAAGTGAAATGTGTATATAGACCATATCACTACCTTGTGAGGTAGAGAGTTGCTTCCGATAAACCCTCGACTCAAGTAAACATAGAAAAACAATACCTTAAAGAAAAGGAAAATGGAAGATATTCCAATTCTTCACAATTCTAAAATGTATTCATGATATGGTAGGCCCAATTAAGCACTACAGTGAGCTGTTGAAAAATAAACAATTGCATACAGCAAAAGTAATTGAATATAATTGCCTCAATTATTCAATTAGTCTTTGTTTATTCAAGTCATAACTTTTGAAAAGAGAAGAGGACTGCTTCATGTAGATTAGCTGAAAAATAGTTGTACTAATTTCAAGCAATCACTGATCATTCTTGTTTGCAAATTACTCTCAACATTCAACAGGTAAAGTAAAGTACTATCTTAGTAGTTGAAGATAGACAGAAAATATTAATCTTCTCAAAATCATTTTGTGTTTCCTTGCAGATTTCAGAATGGAGATTGGCTTAGCAGTTGGTGCTGCATTTCTCTTTTCAGCTTTTAATGTTCTCTTTGATAGGCTTGCTCCTCATGTTGATCTGCTCAACATGTTCCGGAAGCATAAGGATCATATGGAAAACATATCAACTATGCCGGAAGATCTACAAAAACAGGTATACCATTTTATATTCATGAGTAGCTAAATTAATTTATTCCTGAAAATCTTTTGTTAATTATAATTGTTTATCATGCTTGAATAATGTTATAATAATCATCTTTAGAAAATTTGCTACAGAAATATTCTTCGAATAAGTATGCCAAGACTATGCCATCCTAAGGTTGAAATTGGTAGGCAGAGAAGGCCGTTTAGGTTGAAACTGGTAGGCAGAGAAGGCCGTTTAGGGGAGTAAACAAAGTTGAGGCGCTGTTAGGGTAACTAATCAAAGAAGAAAGCTGTAGTAGTGACCAGACGAGATGATTATTAAATCATTATTTTTGCATAATAAGCAAGTATAATTTATTAAGAGGTTGGAAGGAATAAAATTTTAGTGAAAATAAAAATGATAAAAATCGAAACTTACCTATTAAACGATGATGTTGATTATAAGATATTACTACTCTATATACTAAAAAATCTGAATATTGATATAAAAAGAGAAATTTATGGCAAATTATTAACATATGAGATAATAGAAATAACAACCCAAGGTTGGACTAAGTTAACCATACAAAGCATACAGGATGAACTTTATTATGATATGTATGATTTATATGATGATTTAGATATTGGAGATTAAATATGACTGAATATTGGCTAAGGCGATATGGTAGAAATTACAGGTTAAAAAAGATTAAATATCCAGATAAATTAAGTAAGCTTTTTAAAATATTATATAAAAATTATGATGGATAAAACTAAAATAACTAAAATAAAAAGAACCAAGATAGAATAAAAAGGTAAGAAAAATATAGGAAAAATTAAGACCTTTATATACAGAATATGAACTATCACAACTAGTC